ATTTTGAGTAAAGGCCGGCGCACAGTAGATACGTATTCAGGTTTTTTGACAGTTAGCCCATCATTATCTGTCAAAAAACCCGAAAACGTATCTATGGTGCGCCGGCCTTATCTCTAGCAAACCCCACACGCATCAATATATTGACGCGAAGGGGAATTATTGACAATAATATTGATGATGTGAATTCAGAAATATTGTCAATCTCGATATATTGACGTCAATATAGAATGTATTGACAATACGATTATTGTCAATAAAAGTAATCGTGTAGGGTCCACTTCTGAGCAACTCGCATTGCTCAACAACATTTACACATAGCAACCTGGTTGTTGTGTTGAAACCGATGCTGTCATGCAAAGATAATTCAGTGGCAACATTTCAAAGGGGCGTAATTGCATTTGTAATACGTATTTCAACATTTTAAGCGGCGCCCTTTCAAACTAAAGCTTAACCGAGAAGATATTCCGGCAATGGAAAGACAATTGCACTTCCGTATAGCACGCTGCGAAACATTAGCAACCACATAATACGAATTCTGATGGACAATCACAAGAAGGATTCAGGACATTCCCAGAGGGATTCTGGACAATCCCTAGAAGACTTCGAACAATCTCTGGAAGGATTCCAGTCAATCGAAAGGGGGATTTATGACGGAGGGACTCTGAACTACCCTAGGGGTCATTCCAGACAACTATCAGAAAAGATTTCATACACTCTCAGTACGGTTTCCGGACAATATCGGAGGGGACTTCGGGCAAACTCAACAGGGATTTCAAGGAAATCCAAGGAAAGGACGATTTCAGTAAAAATTGAGGGGCATTCATGACAGTCCTGAGAAGATCCCAAACAATTCCAGAAAGGATTCAGTACAATTGAAGAGAAATTGCAGACAATCTCATGGCGGACTACTGTCATCCCAAATGGAGGATTCTGAACAATTCTAAGTAGCATGACAAACAAGAGATGAAGGAATTACTGCATTCCTTCGACGATCGATTATGTAAGTGTCGGAATATAATCATATATGAAGTTGGCCAAAACTAATCTATTGTGACTTGGGATGAACAGCTACATAAAAGACCACATTCGTCAATGTTCCATTTGTGCTAAATATGGATCATCACAACAACACCAGGCGACGAAAATTTAACCCGTTTCTGATCACAATTTTCAACTGTCATTTTCTAAGAGGGGAACAACGGAAGTTTCTAGTGACAGTTGACCATTACTCTGACTTTTTCTAGCGAAATTTTTTCCTGAGATTTATCGTAAATTTAATATTGCTGTTCACTGTACACCTCAATTATAAATAATTAGTAATGTTGAGTTTCCTTATGCCAGAAACTAATTCCACAGAACAAGAAGCCTCTTGCATCGATTTTGAGTATTAATTTTCATGAGCTAAAATAATCTTCTCATAATATAGGACAAATTCCAACTTCTTTGGTCTTGAAATCACACCACCACATCACGAAAAACTTCGAAGATCATCAATCCCTAGAAAACAAAAGAGGCCCCTGGCCTGGACAAAAGCAATGTAACTTGGATCTTTTAATACATGAAAACTTAATACTGCCGTTTTATGGACATCATGCTATATTGAAGTTGATAATCTGACGCCATGCTAAATTTTCTCATAATTGAAAATATTTAAAGCAAATATTCTATCAGACGGTGGTTGTTTCCAGAGCTTCTTATGATGAAAAATACGAGACTACTTTGTTAATTTTACAGCAAATATATTTACTCTGAGTACAGCTGTGTTGCCCCTTGCCATGGAAGCAAGACTAAATTTTGCAAATTTTGAGGTGGTTCTATAAAAGTGATTAATTGACTACATTTATGATGCCTCCGGAAACTGTTCCGGGACCAGCAGGTAGCCAATGTTGCTTAAGACAGTCTTGGCCTTCTTTGAAGGGTTCCCAGAACTTGTTCCGAGACCACCGGATGGCAACGCTAGATCGTGGTCCGGATCCGTAAATTGTACACGCACCAAGCCACGCACACATATTGAATGTAATCCTTTGCATGTGACATGTGTAATGAAGGGAGGCTACATAATCGAAAATTAAATCATCCATCAATACATACAGTATCAATTCTTCTGACTTGAACTTTATGAAAAGTGATTTCTTTTCCGCAATCCGGTACCATGCTTCCATCTGAACGGGTTTCGCATCCAGTGCTTTCACAGAAGTGGGGCTACAAAATGGTGAGTTGACAACCTGGAAGGAGCGGAATACCTAGCCCTGGTCCTCACAAGTTCCTACTTCACGCCTCCTCGAGTCATATGATAACAAAAGACTACCAGCTGAAACATGGACACAGCTGGGTGGCGTAGCCTGGGCAATGTTGCCAGTCCGGCAATAGCAAAGTGAAGAGGTGCGACGCGAACACTGGCGCGGTAACCATAGTACGGTGATAGAGGAAATGCTTCACCAAACCTGAGCGTCTGTTTATCATGGCGGTGCGGCTCAAAACGGCGTCTGTTCTCCATGTTAGGAGCGGCTGATCACCGTCCTAGTGCCAGCGTGGGACTCTAAACAGAGCTGTGCACGATGGTCCCCCGGCGAGACAGGGGTTGGGGCAGGCCCAACAAGCCACCCTGGAAAATAAAACAAAGTTGCAAATACTGAAGAAAAAATACGGATCGGAACAATCGGCACAGACCTACGCGACGAAGTAAGGACTACGATTAGAAACTCGGAACATGGAAATGCAAATCGCTCGGCTTCCCGGGTTGCGATAGGATAATCTATGACGAACTTCAACCACGCAACTTCGAAGTCGTAGCACTGCAGGAACTTTGCTGGACGGAACAAAAGGTATGGAAAAGCGGGCATCGAGCGGCTACTTTCTACCAGAGCTGTGGCACCACCAACGAGCTGGGAACCGGCTTTGTAGTGCTGGGTAAGATGCGCCAACGCGTGATTGGTTGGCAGCCGATCAACGCGAGGATGTGCAAGTTGAGGATTAAGGGCCGTTTCTTCAACTACAGTATCATCAACGTGCACTGCCCACACGAAGGGAGACCCGACGACGAGAAAGTAGCGTTCTATGCGCATGGATCAGGTGTACGACGGCTGTTCGCAACGGGACGTCAAAATCGTCATCGGCGACATGAACGCTCAGGTCCGCATACGTCACAATCGATCGAGATCAGCTATGGCAGATTATGCACGAGGACGGATTTCCGGACAAACTGACGCGATTGGTCAAGGCGACGATGGATCGAGTGATGTGCGTTGTTCAAGTATCGGGGACACTCTCGAGTCCCTTTGAATCTCGAAGGGGGTTACGGCAAGGTGATGGACTTTCGTGTCTGCTGTTCAACATCGCGTTAGAAGGTGTGATCAGAAGAGCTGGGATAGACACGAGTGGCACGATATTTAGGAAGTCCATCCAGCTCCTTGGCTTCGCCGATGACATTGACATTATGGCACGGAACTTTGAGATGATGGCGGAAACGTACATCAGACTGAAGGCTGAAGCTAGACGGATTGGACTTGCCATCAACGCATCAAAGACAAAATACATGAAAGGAAGAGGTTCTAGGGAAGACAATGTTAGCCTCCAACCCCGAGTTCAGATTGACGGTGACGAAATCGTGTATTTGGGCTCACTGGTGACCGCCGAAAATGATACCAGCAGAGAAATTCAAAGACGCATTATGGCAGGGAATCGTGCCTACTTTGGACTCCGGAGGACGCTCCGGTCGAATAAAATTCACCGCCGCACGAAGTTGACTGTCTACAAGACGCTGATCAGACCGGTGGTCCTCTACGGCCACGAGACCTGGACTATGCTCGTGGAGGACCAACGCGCCCTTGGTGTTTTCGAACGGAAGGTATTGCGTACCATCTACGGCGGAGTGCAGATGGATGACGGAACGTGGAGGAGGCGAATGAACCACGAATTGCACCAGCTGCTGGGAGAACCATCCATCGCCCACATTGCAAAAATTGGGCGACTACGGTGGGCTGGGCACGTCGTAAGAATGCCGCACGACGACCCAGTGAAAATGGTTCTAGAAAGCGACCCAACAGGAACAAGAAGAAGAGGCGCGCAGCGGGCAAGGTGGATCCACCAAGTAGAAGGTGACCTGCGGACCCTTCGCAGACTACGAGGCTGGCGAACTCTGGCCATGGATCGAGTAGAGTGGAGACGACTTCTTCGGACACCTTACCTGATTGGTAAGGTAAGGTAAGCTTTCACAAAAGTAGTGTATTTCGCGTTTCCATTTGGGAAGCTGGATTCAATAATATGCTTTCTTCGAGGCTTTATTTCAACGGATGTCCCCAGTTATTTGCTTTAAACCGCAACGACAACGCGAGCGAGCTGCAGGTAATGCACAAAACTCACCGAACCGAACAATGACGTGATCCACACCGACTGGTACAGGGGCATGAAGTAGTTCGCCTCTTCGTGGTGTGCCCTGGAAACGTTAATTATCGAACCCAAGGGAGAGATATTGCGGCTAAGCGAACTACAGCAGAGTAAGGACGCTGGAGCCCCATCCAGCTCGTCCCAGGAGGTCGATAAGCCCTGCACAAACACTCGTTGTGCAAAGACAGGAGTGACACCGGTCACATCTGTCCTGTTTGGCCCTGGACAGTTATCAGCAGGCTATCACGTCTGCTCTAGAACTCAGGCGAACAATTAACAGCGAACAACAAGAGGAAGGCCCTGCACAGCTGCTCACTGTGTAGTAGCGATCCTAGCAGCACGCTTGTCACTGAACAATTGTGGTTACTTGTGTGCCACTTATTCCAGTCACAATCAAGTTGCAGCAGCTTATTTCGATCGAAGTGTGTTGCTTGGGGAGTGTCACGTCTGGGCATTCTTCAGGATTATGAGAAAAACTTGGTTGTTGCTTACCAACAGCTCATGACACGCTGAAACCTAGCTTTAGCTCAGCGAAGTAACACCAAACTTCCACCATGGCGAACAGTCAAAAGGGAACCCGTTCGGATCAGTAACTTACACCCATCTTCGCGCGCTAAAATTACAACTAGTTTTAATCACTTTTGACTATGATATGGGGAACGTAGACCCATCGGGGGAATACCTGCTACACGCACAAAGCTTACGACCTACTAAATGCTATACGGTTTGTAATAATCTATATTCTCTAAAACTTACCAGAGCTGTTCGTTCGTCCGTGATTAAAATTGCACAATACCTTACCAGAGCTTACAAGCTACCAATGTCGTTGAACCGCTTCAGCTTCTCCGGGAAGTTGTCCTTGAACAGCACCGGATCCGCTCGGAACTCGACCGTCTTGAGCGGCATCGTCCCGTAGATCTCCGCAAACCGATTGATACAAGCGGATCGTTCCATCATGTGGTTCAGATCCGCCGACAGCATCTCGTTGTTGGTGCATTCCGGGCACTTGAACTTCTTCCTCGGGGCCACCTTGATGGGCGGCTTGTTGGTGATGTTGGCCACCAGGAAGTTCATGGCAATGTCCTCGCAGTTCATGTGTTCGTCGACCCAGTCCTTGATGTTGCCGGGCATGGCGTTGGTGTACATGTAGCTCCAGTACTTGTGATGGAATGCCGCCCCGGTCAGGACCATCGAGATCTGGTTGGTCCACTCGGATTCGTACCGCCAGCGGTTGGTGGCATTATCCCAGACGTGCGTCCGCGATGGGAAACCGACGATCCGATCGGGGAACTCGCGCCACACTTCGTAGCCAAAGTCCAGTTCATCGGCCGTCAGCATGACGATGTCGTCGTCGATGGTGAGGATTGCTTCGGTTTCGATCTCCTCGTACGGGTAGAATCTGTTCGAGAGCTTGTTTGCAGCCGTCTGGATGACTTTGAGCGGTTTTCCGATTTTGGGAAAGAGCGACGGATGCGGGGGCGACTTCTTCTGGTTGTTCCAGATGACTAGAATCTTTTGCAGGGAGGGGACGGTGGCCAGTTTCTGGATCAGGATGAACAGACTTTCGATTCGATCGTACGTTAGGATGACGGCGGTGAAGCCTTGAGATTTGGGTGCGATCAGTGGGAGGAACAGTGGGTTCTGAGTGGAGTGCTGCGTCTTGGCCACGTTCCAGTGCATGTAGGTTTTGCTGAGATGTGGGAAAATGCGATCGTTTAGCTGATCCAGCGTGGTCAGGATGATCTTTTCCAGGCTGGAAAAGTACCGATCGTAGATGTATGCTCCGTGAGTTCGAAGCTCCTGGATGCGTTCTTTGGAGACGGCTTTGAGGGTGGTGATCACGGAGTGAAGGTTGTTCTCGTAGATTCGGATCGAGATTAGGTCCCAATCCAGGATGTCGCTGAAAGGCAGAATCAAGTTGTCAGCCATTATCACAGGGATGCAACCGGCTGCCAAGACGTCCATCAGGGTTGGCTGGGACAGGCGGACTCCCCGGGCAATCAAGCAGAATTGACCGCTTTCCAGTACGCTCGGGTACTCGTACTCATTGCCTTGAGGGAAATTACAGCGGATGTCTTTCATGGTTTTGAGCAGTTCTTCCGGACTGCTTGCGGTTTCCACGGGTCGGGACGTATCGAAACTTTCCTCCGCTTTAACCGTCGTCGTCGGACAGCGCTGCAGCAAGAGGATGTCGTTCGGGAAATCGTACGTCAGTTCCTGCATGATTCGATATTGGCGTTGGAAGATATTCAATTGGGACGATACCAGCAGGAACTTTCGGTCCGAATGCATCGGATTGAGCTGGAGGTGTTCCAGAATGGAACTGTACATGGGCATGGGTAGATCGAAGCCCGATCGGAACGACCAACTGTCGAAGCCGGACCCGAGGATCATTGCCCGATCGGTGTTTACGTCCAAAACCGTGTTGTAGTCCGGTGCCGATCCGGAAATAAAATTGAACAGGATGTGGTTCTCTCCGTTTTCCCAGCTGGAAAGATAGTTCGATGAGAAGTAATTCCAGATAGAAATGTATAGAAAATAATTACTAAGGAAGCGAAGCCAGCGCTTTGCCGACTAGATTCACATCGATCCTGTTCTGATTCAGAGTATCCAGCGTCGGAACGAACAGACACGCTTCGTTCGGATTCGCCGTGTAGTACGGACTGTTGACGATCGTCTTCAGAATGGTGTAGAACTCCTTCGTCAGTTGGAAGGCCTGCTTCCGCGAGTCCGCATCGACATACTCTTTCAACGGATAAACGTAGATCGATATACGTTCCTGCTGCTCCTCGGCCCACAAGCCAGCAGCGCTCCCTCCCGCAGCACCACCTCGCTGTCCACAACGATACACATTGAAGCAATCCCAGAAGGAACAGTTTCTGTTCCGCGCCCGTGCCAACTCGGCATCCTTGTCCAGCACGATCTGCGGAATGTCCACCAGGTCCAGCGAAAGTCGCTCGCTGTCCGCCTCCGAGACCGAACTGCCGCCGAACCAGAGCGCCAGCAGCACCAGCGCCCCGACGAATGCTATCAGATAGCGATTAAAATCACTTTTCGGCACTATCGCCTGCTTTATGGCACTGCATTTGATCGGAATCGACATGGCGGGGACGCTGTTATTCACATTTTTCATAGGAATTTTGTATTTTTTCACGGGGAACCGATTTAGATTTTTGATCCGTGTGTGTAAACAACAATGGAATTATTCAGTCAGAACTTTTTTCCCCACTTGACAGCCGATGCGTGACTGGCATCGGTAAACAACAACTGGGACACCGTGAGCGCACTCCATCGCTTCGAAGCGTTTGTTATGACAGTTTCGACAAGATTAAACAGAAAAAAGTTTGCATTGATTTGTTGGCAACGTGCGTGTTTGGAAAAGTTAATCGAAAATAAGTCGAATTTGGCTGTGGAAAAATGAACCAACTGGATAAAAAAGAACCGGTGCAGGCGATCCTGATCGGTGATGGATTCAACGATTGTTTCGTTCCGTTCACGGATCGCAAACCGCTGGTAAGTGTAAACGCCTATTTACCGGTGCCTAGCCCGAAAAAGACTCGCTAAAGTTGCTGTTTTGTTTACCATTGCATCATCTCAAGGAAGCAGGAAGATTTCAAAGATTCGGATCATTGCGAGGTGTGAAGAAGTATTAATTCTTTAAAGAAGCACGCTCCTTCCCCCCCTTAGAGCGTTATGTACTTAATCGATGCTTCAGGACAGTATCACACTTAAAAGTAATACATACCTATTACCGAACTGAAAATTCAGCAAGTAACCAACTTCAGCTTAAGTACCAATGCTTCTATCAGGGCCGGCTAAATTTTGGTGTTTTCTGGGAGAAGTTTCAAAGCGAAGTTCCTGGAACTTCAAGTCAAAGTTCAGTGCACTTCAACTGCGGGTTTCTAAGTATTACTACGACGGAATTCTTAATAGTTGCCCCCGTGCTATTCAGTTTTCTACGTTCGGTAATGGTGGCCTGCATGATATGGGTATGATAAATGTATCCGTCACTGTGCCTTTCCACATTATTGTTTATTGTTTATTGAAAAATTCAACTGACAATTATTATCTAAATGAATAAAACTTAAACTAAATAGTTACGGTCAACGGTACGGAAAAGGCCAAGTAGCCGATGACGAAACACGTCAGCTGATACATTGAAGTCGAACATATGGAAAAAGTTGTTGAATTGCCGGCTGATTGCTCGAATGAGCTCGTGTTGTGTATAATTCCGGCTCCGTGGTTCCAAAAACAGAAAGTCGCGTTGACGAAGAGACCTCTCAGGGGCATACATATTTAGCTGTGGCAGCAGTGTTGGACAGTCAGCAGCTTTCCAGCGAACATAGCTTTAGCGACCGTCCGTCTCACCTCTAATGGCTAGATTCCCAGGCGACGGCAACGCTCCTTGTACGGTGGCAAGTTCGTTGGGTCACGCCAGTTGAGGAAACGAAGAGCATATCTCACAAACTTGCGTTGAACGGATTCAATTCTAGTGATCCAGCTAGCATGGAAAGGGCACCAAACAACTGAACTTGACTCCAATAAGGATCGCACAAGCGAGCAGTAGAGTGGCCTGAGGCATAGCGGGTCACGGAACTCGTCGGCAATTTTGAAAATAAAGCCCAATTGTCGATTAGCTCTGGAGATGATGTCATTGTAGTGGATTCTGAAAGTGAGTCTGCAGTCCAAGGTAACGCCGAGATCCTTTATGTGCTCTACACGAGCAAGACAGCGTCCGTCGAGAACAGTCAAACATGGTTGGTTCGATTTTTCGGTGATAGGAAATAATGTTACATTTTTCTATGCTTATGCATATGGTATCAGCAAGGCGACGTCGTTTAAAAAGATCGAAAATAGCGGTCCTAGGTTACTGCCTTGCGGGACTCCCGAGTTGTTTGAGCGATACATAGCGATTCACCAAGTAAGATCTGAACCAATCCACAGCAGTTGACGAGATGCCAAGTATCTCCAGCTTGGCCAGCAAGATATTATGGTCCACCGTGTCAAATGCAGCTTTTAGATCCATATACGCAGTATCGACTTGCCATCCTGAATCCATGCATCGCAGACAGTTAGAAGTGAACTGCACCAGGTTCGTGGACACGGAGCGCTTCGGGTAGAAACCGTGTTGTTCTGTATCGATATAATTTTTGCAGCGTGCGAACAGAGCACCATTTATGATAATCTCGAACAGTTTTGAACAGGCACACAGGGAGGTGATTCCACGATTATTTTGTACACTGGGAACAGATAAGAAGGTTTCCAGCGGTAGGGGAACTCACATTGCTGTGCCGAGAGATTGAATAGCCTCGCAAGTGGAAGGCAGAGATTGGCTACACAACGTTTTAGAACTGATGACGGAATGCCGTCAGGTCCGGCGGCGAACGAGAGCTTCAGTTTGCGTGTTGCGGCTATCACCATGTCTTCTGAAATGCGCGGAATAACGAAACTCACGTGGCATCCCAACAGTAGCGTCCAGCACTTGTGTTGGCGAAGCGGAGAAATCGTGGAACACTTGCTTAAAATGACGAGCAAACAAGTCGCATTTTTCTCTTTCACTATTAGCCGAGTCATTCCCGAGAAACATGGAACAAGGCAACCCGGATTCCTTCCGTTTGGAGTTGACAAACGACCAAAAACTTTTCGGATTCGTGCGTCTCACGTGTCGATTATAGAGAAAACGATTGTAATTTCGATAACTGCGACTCGCAAAATTGAACAGTCGTTTGTAGTACGGCGAGCGAGAGTTACAATACTTTCGGAGGGCGGCAGAGCGTTGACGTTTTAGTACGCGTAGGCGTGGGTTAGACCATGCAGGCTTTAGCGGAGGTCGTCGAGCTGGGACAATGCGGAAAATAGCATCTTCCAGTGCAGCACTGCAAAAATCCACTGCATCATTCACGCTAGTGGCAGTTTCGATAAATTGCCAATCAATGTCCTCAAGCGCATTGTTCAATGCAACATAATCAGCTCGGCGAAAGTCCCAAGAGTAGCACTCAGATGACGGCGTAAAAACAATCGGCGGAGGTAAACTAAATGACGCCGAGAGCGGGATGATCGGCATCTAGATCAATCAGTGGTTCGACCGGCAAGGATACAGAAGTGCTCGGTAATGCAGAATCATTTGCCAGGACAAGATCTAGCTGTAGTGAACTCGTCTAAACCTCACTTGGAGAGTGAGAGCTCTGAAGAGAATGAGTCCCACAAAGGGAAGTTGAGTATGTAAAGGAACAAGAGAAATATACGAATTCAGAACTTGTTAGACAACCCACCAAACTAGACGTGTTTACTTTAGTGTCGACGAGGTGAAATAGTTTTTTTTTCCAAGTATTTTTATAAGTTTAAAAAGTGGAAAAGTATTTAATTTATTGCGTGCATGAGAAGAAATTGAACCTTTGAAGTGAATTTTGCGAGGAATTTTGCGAACCATCTGGTGAAGATTTGGTGTGGCTTGGAGTAAAACCAGTAAAACTGCATGTAAACTCGGCGTAAGTTATTTCTTTTGTGTGGGAGAACAAAAGATTTTGATGTGCCAAGAGCATTCTTTTTCTATTTCCCTTTTTAATCGCTAAATGTTGTTCTGAGACCAAGCTGTTTAGCTTTTGTGTTGCATTTTAATCCAGAACAAAATTAATCGGCATTTTGTGAATTTCTTTGAACAAAAGAAAAATCGCCATTTTGTATTACTAAATGATTAAATTTCGCCACTTAAAGGGGAAATTCCCGCCATTTTGTACGGTTACAATGCATCTTTTGTGATTAAAGGTTCTACAATTTTTCCTCTCATTTTATCATACAGCACCTTGTTTTTTGGAGAAAGACAAAGCGCCCAACACTACACAAGCTATTATCGCGATTCTCACAAATTCGTACCGATCTCACCACCACTGTTGCATTGAACCGGTTGGCCCGATTCAGTTCAGCTGTCAGACGTCAGTGAGAAGAACGTGTGAAGAGAGTCTCATCAAGTGCAAGTGGAAACAGCATCATTGTTGCATCTGCATGCGTACACCAGTGGAATTTGGTGGCGTGACCTCTACGACCGGCTTAGGAATCGAAGGTTTTCGAAAGGAGGAATTGCGAGATTGAGAAATTTCGCCAGTGAATGTTTTGCAGAGCCCGCTGGTCTTGCTGTTGTTGCTTGCTGGAACCGCGGTTGCTGCTGGAAGTGCTGTTGCTGCTTGAATTGCTGTTGCTGCTGGTTGGAATTGCTGGATCGTCGTTCGATTGCAGTGATCGATCCGCTGCTGTTGGATGTTGCTTGCTGGCTGATTGGATTCACGGTGTTGTTTGCTGGATTGGATTTGGATCGTTTGGTGGAGCCTATTTTTGCCGAGTGGAGGAACCGTTAGTGTTTTGTGTTTGGTTTAGAAACCAAACCGTATCAGGTATGTGATTTAATTTTTATATTTTATTTTGTTCTTGTTTATTGCTAAACAACTTAATTCATGAAGTGTTTTTTTAAATGAAACATCGTTTTTTTTAAACTGCGACATTTATTTATTTTTTTTTCTCAAATAAATTTTGTGAAAAAATTTCACTGTTTCATTGAAAGGATGTCGACTGCTGCTACTGAGCCATACCTACCGGGTTCTATCCCGTTTGTTGAATACCTTGAACAGCTGCATTGGGTTTTTAAAGCGAATGAATATTTAGATGAAAAGTACAAGACAAAATTTTTAGCTGTTTGCGGTCGGGAAGTTTATTCTGACTTAAAGAAACTTTTTCCTGGTCAAGACTTTGAGCAGTTGAATTACAAACAAATAATTGATGAACTGAAGAAGCATTACGATAAGACCGACTCCGACGTTATACACAGTTACCGTTTTTGGACAAGGAAGCAGGGTAGGAATGAAACTTCTGAAGAATTTGTTTTGAACGTCAAAGTTTTAGCTGAGTTATGCAATTTTGGAACATTTAAAGAGCGAGCGATCAGAGATGTTTTGGTGATCGGGGTTTATGATCAAAATCTTCAAAAGCGTTTGTTTGATGAAGAAGATTTGACGGCTGCAAAAGCAGAGCGGATTATTTTGAGCCAAGAATTGGCAGCTAACAACTCGAATGGTGAAGAATGATAATGAAAACAGATCTGGTGTTATTGCAAGATTAGGTCGCAGACCTGACCGGTTTGATTCTAGGCGTAGACCTGATCGGTCTGCTTCTAGGCAAAGAGATAGGAGTGTTAGTCGAAGCAATGATAGAAATCGCTCATTTTCATCCAGGAGTAGATACGATGATAGAAGAAGAACGCATTCTGGGAAGCCGACATTTTTATGTTCTTTTTGTAAGAAAAAAGGACACACTAGGAAATATTGCTACCGATTAACAGGGAAGAGCCCGCGTAAAGATTTCCGGAGTGTTAAGTTTGTAGATTCGCCTAAACTTCCTATTTCAGAAACTTCAGGTCTTTTTAAACGTCTTAAAAAGGATTTGAATTCGGATAGTGAGGAGGATACAAGCATGAATTGCATGATGATCTCCTCAATAAATAGAATAAATGAGCCGTGCTATGTTGAAGCTACTATACAAAGAAAGAGATTGACTATGGAGGTCGATTGTGGATCGGCAGAAAGTGTAATATCCGAGGAACTGTTCTTGAGAAACTTTAAAAACGTAGCAATTGAACAGTGCAATAAAAAGCTAGTTGTGATAGACGGTAAAAAGCTTAAAGTTCTTGGGAAAGCGGAAGTCCAGGTGCAGCTAGGAAACAGAACGAAACAACTTAATTTGATTATCCTACGTTGTGAGAACGATTTTGTGCCGCTTATGGGGCGAACATGGCTTGACATTTTTTACTCTGGATGGAGAAACACTTTTAGTAGCCCAGTTACTCAGCTAGAACAAATCAACGCACTCAAGGATGAAAAATTAGTTGACGGGATAAAAAGTCTCCCTCGGCGGCAGGATCATTTCTGCTCATAGGCGCCAGATCAAGGCACCAATACATTTTCGCCGGAAAACGAAGAGAAGTGACGTTTTCCAAGGAGAGAATTTAGTTGAACCAGCACCAGCACAACAAAACGATTGTAACATTAGAACTAGCAAAAGAAAACGAAACCAGGATGAAGAATACTTCGGGGAAGATGCGGAATCAGAACCAGAATTTTATGGTTTCGCTGCTGATTCGTTTATCTACAGGGAGGAAGAACCCCTATCGAATGAATCGACTGAACTACCACAATTTTCGCAACCTGTGGAATCGATTAGAAAATCTAAGAGAAAACATAAGAAGTGAAGAAAAGAAGATTTTCACTATTATTAATAGTATCGAACATTGTTTTAAATCAATTCAAATTTAGTAAATTTTTGAATAAGCAATTCAAATATTTGACAGAACCTTCTGTTTTCGATTTATGAGTTTTTTTTAAGTGGATTAAAAGCTATTGAATTTACAAGTATTTATTCAATTAAAGTATTTTGTATTCCAAACTTAAGGAAGGAGGAGTTGTAGTGAACTCGTCTAAACCTCACTTGGAGAGTGAGAGCTCTGAAGAGAATGAGTCCCACAAAGGGAAGTTGAGTATGTAAAGGAACAAGAGAAATATACGAATTCAGAACTTGTTAGACAACCCACCAAACTAGACGTGTTTACTTTACTAGCAAACGTCCATTTCGGTTCGGAAAAGTATTCACTTGGGTGAACCCGTAAAAGTTAAAACCGTCCAAAAGAGCACAGCAAGCAACCGGCATATGCGAAAGTAGTGGATCAATTAATGGTGTGCCACTGTCTGTAAATCGCCACTGCAGACCAACTTGATTGTAGTCACCAAATACGAAAGCGGGAGAGCAGGGACTTAATTGTGACGAAATTGAGCCTAATGATTCCACATGCTCACGGATGATCGTGCAGTCGTTTTTGTGGTCGGGAGGCAGGTGGATTGCGCCTACACTAAGCTTGCTTTGTGGAAGTTCAACGACAATCCACTGCTGTTCTAGTTGACTGGAAATGGGTGACGTACTTACGTAGCTGGCTAGTCTAGTAGATAAAGGGTGATACGGTCAAAATTTGACCTCGATAAAGGCATTGTCGCCTGTTACTGCTTTAGAACCACCAACAAGTGGTTTGCTAGTGAGCGAGCCTTCATCGCGGCGCCGTTTTAATGGCGGTTGACGCATGAAATTGGAGTTTGTCGGAGTTGTCAATGCGATTCGTTTCGATAGCTGAGCGATCTGCTATTCTTGCTTAACCATTTCCTTTCTAAGCTCAGCGTGTGCGATTGCCTGTCTCTCGGTGATAGAATTAATCACACTGCCAAACGGCGAGACGGCAGTTTTAAACAATATTCAAAAAAGCCTTATTCAGCTTTGTGCCGCCGCACTTTAGGTGAATCATCCTGTCGCAAAAAGCCATGCAGGAGACGGATTCTTCATTGCCTTTAACTGGTTTAGCGCATTGGTCACAGGCGGAAGTCATGCTGACTCAGTTTCCAAAAGTGATTTAGAAACAGCGGTGGAGATGCTCTAATACGCAAACAGGAATTGGATTCTCAAGATCGCCCAATGCTAGTCTGATATCGACAATAACACAACAGTATACACTAAAGAGCCTAAATTTATAAAGAGGCGACATGTCAAAATTGGAACAATCGATTGTCTGTCAAAGTCATAGGAAAAGTCATTCCAATCGAGCAGAAGACCTGTCAAATGGATAAGATGTCGTCTCTTTGTAAATTCAGGCTCTTTAGTATACACTACAATTAAAGAGCCTAAATTTATAAAGAGGCGACATGTCAAAATTGGAACAATCGATTGTCTGTCAAAGTCATAGGAAAAGTCATTCCAATCGAGCAGAAGACCTGTCAAATGGATAAGATGTCGTCTCTTTGTAAATTCAGGCTCTTTAACTACAATATGTCCGATTGGATAACTTTTTCACTGTTTTCACAACACAAAATATGCTCTAATTAGACGATTATCGCAACGAACTGCACTTTCCACTAACAACCAGTACAATATTACAGGTACATATACCGAACGGAAAAAAACGAATAACGATAGCCGGTGTGATAAAAAATCGACAAATTTAGCAGCGCACAATCACGACGATGTGAATAACAACAACTGTCAATGTTCCTAACTGGAGGTTCGGATTTTCACCCCTCCCTTTCCGTCTGCCAGGAACAGGGGAAAATGGAACAACATACGCCCTCCAGTTAGTGTCAAAGACCACAGAAGTACTTGCATCGCTGTGATGCGTCAATCGCGGCTCAAAACCTATTTTGCATTACGAATGTATGACCGGAATAAACAATACAGCATAAAATATGACCATCAAACAAAAAAAAACGGCCATTGGTAAAAGGAGTTGAGCACCAATACTGTAGGACCTCGTCACATAATCCCCTTTATTCTGCGAGGCACGGGACTCTGATTTCCACTGACGTCCTTGGGGTCTGGTAGCTTTTCCACCTTAATAGCGAATCTGACATGCATTGCTCTAGATCAAATCTGTCTGTTTAACATGCTACAAAGAGGTCCTACTTGCATGTGATCTCTCAAGAACATTCAATCATTGTTATAGCTGTCTATTGGCTTTTCTTCTCATTCCAGTCGCTCCTGCCGCTGGTCAACGTTCCGCTGCTGGACTACTCGCTGGAGTCGCTGAACCGATCCGGCGTCGAGGAGGTCATCCTCTTCTGCAGCAACCAGGTGGATCAGGTGAAGGCGCACGTCAAGGCGCGCCAGGATGCCGGCTGCAGCTGGTCCATCGGGATGTCGGTGTCAATTGTTAGCTCCGAGGGATGCCGCTGTATGGGTGATGCCCTGAGGGATCTGGACGCCAAGGGCCTGATGCGGGGAAACTTCATTCTGATGGGCGTGGATACGGTGACGAATGCCAATCTGGCGGCCATACTGGAGGAGCATAAGCGCACGGCGAAGATGGACAAGGGAGCGGCCATGACGGTGGTTTATAAGGAGGGCGTTCCGCAGCAGCGAACGGGGAATCAAGTTATGATAGCGATGGATAAGAACAGCAAACGGTTGTTGTTTCATCAGCGGCTTAAGCCGCTGCATAAAGAGCGGAATTTCGTAATTCCGCTGGAGATTCTAACTCAGAACAAGGACGTCACGTTGCGGCATGGACTGGTGGATCCGCAGATTGCAGTCTGCAGCATTACGGCACTGCCGTTGTTTTCCGATAATTTTGATTTTTTGACACGGGATGACTTCGTGAAGGGACTGCTGATTAACGAGGAGATCCTGGCCAGTACGATCTATGTGAGCGTGTTGCCGAGCGAGGAATACGGAGTTAAGGTGAACAATTGGCAGAGCTATCAGATCGTCAGCCGGGACGTGGCCAATCGCTACGTTTATCCGCTGGTTCCGGATATGGGAGTGTGCGGCAACGTGTTGAGGTACTCATTCTGTAGGAACAACATCTATCGACATCGGGATATTAGGCTTGCCAGGGGAAGCGTACTTAAGGCGGATGTGGTGATTGGAGAGAAGTGCGAGGTGGCGGAGAAAACGGTCGTGGAGAATTCGGTACTCGGAAGTGGGTGTAAGATTGGTAAGAACTGTCGTATTACGAACAGTTTCCTGATGGACGGGGTGGAGGTTGGGGACGGGTGTGAATTGGATCATTGCATCGTTGGAGATAGAGCCAAGGTAGGACCGAGCTGCGTGCTGAGCAACGGCTGCATTCTGGGAGAAGGAGTAGAATTGCCCAAGGGAACGAAAATCTCGAAGGTTACACTTCAGTCTTCGAATCCGGAGGATGATTGGACCGAAGGATCGAAGAAGATTGGAGAACACGCATACACAATTCCGGATGGCAATGAGGATAACGAAGATATGCCAGATTCTGAGGATGAAGACGATCAGAACGCATTCAATCATGTGATGCGACTGAGTCGATTGGAGAGAACTCAGACACCGTCCGTCTACAGCAGTTCGTCGGAGGAAGGTGAATCTCGGGCCATGTCTCCAATTCAGGAGGACGCGAACATTTTCCTGTCGGAAGTGCTGGAATCACTCAAGCGTGGCTATTCGGAAAAATCGAACCCGGACTATTTAATTCTGGAAATCAATTCGTCCCGGTATGCGTACAACATGTCCCTGGCGGAGGTGAACTTTTACGTGGTGAAGGCCATCCTGCAGCTGTTGGTGATGCAGGAGAATGCCGCCAAGCATTTCGTGACCAGTTTGAACCAGCTGTTGACCTACTTCGGATCGGTGTTCAAGAACTACATCCGCGGGCGGGATGCCATGATGGACTGTATGAAAGCCCTGGAGGAAACGTGCGAACAGGATGAGTTGATTTGCAGTAAAGTGGCCCAGGTGGTTCACTATCTGTACGAGAAGGATTACATCACGGAGGAGGTCATTCTGGAGTGGCACGAAGAGCTAGAGGACGGCCCGGATGCAACGGTGAAGAAGAGCCTCGCCAAGTTGGTGGAATGGCTGATGCAGTCCAGTGAGGAGGAGGATGATGATGACGATGATGAAAGCGAGTAAGTGTAGGTGTTTAATAATAAAGCTGTGTTGGTAATAATTAAACGATGATTACTTTTGAATTTAGAGAAATGCCTTGAAAGTAGATTGTCCAGGAGATGGCGCTAGCAAAACAATGTTTTCCGATCGACGTAAATTCCCCCCCCCATCAGAAAGCGACATGCTCCCGCTCGTCAGTTGGCACTTGAAATTGATGACTTTGTTTGGGAAACCAACACGTCTCAACTACATTTCCACCTTCGCTTGATTTTCTTTCAATTAAACGCACGCTTTTGGAATGGTCAGAATCGATTTTATTCCCCGCGGTTTCGGATGGAGTTTTCCGTTTAGAAAAACTCCCCCAGCAGCGTTATCCTCTGCAGGAAGGGTTGTGCCCGACACGTCAGCAGTGCGTAATTACTGGCCCAGGAACTGTTCCGGTAGTGTCCGCTTTCCTTAATCCTACCGAGCAGCGCCTGCGGATCCAGTTTGGCCTTCTGGTAGACCTTGGTCTTGAACATGTTCTGCACGAATTCCGTAATCGTATTGTTCAAACCTTGTTGGTGATGTGGAAGATGATGTTCGCCACCGACCGTCGGTGGTATCACCTCCATCCCATCACCACTGCCCACGGAGCTGTTCTCGGAAAAGAACCTCTTCGCCGAATTCATTTCCTCGTCTTCTTCTTCAGTGGTGGCAGGTGTTGATGCCGTTGGTGGTTGTGGTGGCGGTGTAGCAGACTGTTCCGGAATTTCCGTTTCTCCGGTCGTCACATCCTGGTGCTGTTCCCGCTGACTGTCGTTCAGCTTGACCTGCGCCGTTGAACTCTTATCGTCCGGATCTCTGGCCGAAGATGTTAGCTTGATGGTAGTCATCCGTTCCGGATCGTCCACGGATGCTGTCGGAGTCGGTGAAACCGGTTCCACCGGAACAACCAAGCTATCATCGTTAGTCGTTTTGTTGGTCGAGGATTCGTTCTGTTGATTCTTCAGGGATTCCCGTGCTCGGTTGAATGCTTCTTCGAGTCGCTTCTTGGTCAACGCCTGACGAGCTTCGGCTAGCTTTGCACCTAGTTCTTCCAGTACAGCTGCCGGGATGGAATCCTCCAGCTGAGCTTCCACTACGGAAATAGTCTCCACCGTGGATTCCTCTGGTGGTTTCAACTCTGCACCGGCGGTAGCTTCTCGGGTTCGACTGAGATCCAGTCGATCGCCGGCGTACTTCTCCCTACTGTAATCAGCAAAGAGATTCTGCTGAGGAAGATCGTGGCAGCAGCGAAGCATGGCTGGATCGATCGGATGGGCTTCGGTATTGAAGATGTAGCCACCGGCATCGATGATGCATTCGCCATAGGTCGTATTGATCACCGTCCCCACGCGACCGTCGTTGTGAATGAAATTATCCGGATCGAACAGAAGGTACAGATATTTGGTCGTTTCTGCCAGGAAGAACGATTCCATTCGATCTTCCTTGTGATGGTCCCGGACATTCTTTATCGTAGCATAGCCACAGGGCGTCTTGGCACTGTGTTCTATGCTACGCAGAATGTCCTCACCAACTTCCAACAGGTAAGGATCACCGGTCGCCCGATAGAGATACATCACCGATTCGATCAGTTCCGGTCTCAGAGGATAATTCTCCCGATTGGCTCCGGCTTCCGCGTTCGGAATGTTGTAAAACTCCGGAAGAAAGCCGTACTGCTTCCAAACGGTATGGTAATTGTGCAATGTCTTCATGGCGACGCTTGTGTCCCCAAACAAACTCAGCACTCCAGGCCAGTACGCTTCCAGTGATTGGAACACCGGAAGCGTAACCTGACCTTTGTTCATGCTGACCCAAACGTGCCAATCATCCCTCTTCAGGTACTTATCGATCGCTTTTCGACCCTCGTTGAACATGTGCATCAGATCCGGTTTATTGAGCATGATGGCTCCTTTGACCAGGTACTCGTAGTAGGAATCGACACCCGCCCCGATGCCAGCATCCTGAGCCGTCCACCGACCCGTCTGAACATCAATATGATTCCCAAACAGCCCAATCGACGACCGATGATTGTACAACCCGTACAGCGCATTTAAGGCCACTTCTTCGTAGATCGGATCGCCCGTCAGTCGACTCAACGCTCCAAACTCCACAATGAACGTGCCGATTCCTGCCGTACAAGTCACGCTCGTTTCCCCGTACGGCACACCGTACTTCAGATTGACCGTCCCGTACGGCATCCCAGTCCTGGTATCGAACGCCGGTAGCAATCTCTTTGCCACGTCCTCCGCTAGTCTCAGCAACGGTCCATTACAGGGCCAACCCGGTTCCAGTTCCACTCCCGCCTTGTGACTCATCATGTGGGCACTTACCAATCCACCCACAATGCGGATGTTCGTCTCGAACACCGACACATTGATGTCACTGTCGAAGGACTTCTGCTCCAGCAGTCCCACCACTCGTCGGAACTCGGAATAGTTTCCCATCACGGCAAGCGTATCCAACGCGTCGACCAGCGTTAGCGAGTAGCTGCCCCAAGTGTCCACTCCGTCGCAGGACAGGGGCCGCAGTTCGTCGTATTTGCTCGCATACCGGAGATACCCGTCGTAGGCATGCTGGAACATTGCTCGGACCTCCTCTCTGCGGAATGAGATAAACAAACCACGTCACGGCACCTCAGGGCGTCCGAAATAAATAATGCCAACATTTACCGTAATCGAATCATGTCCTGTTTGGTGTACTTCCGGAGGCCAGAAGCAACACTGATGATAGCGGCATATAAACACACAAACAGGAGAACATTTTTAGCCGGATGATGCGGATTTCGCATAGTTTTGGTACGGTGAAAATTTAGGATGAAAATTCGATGCGATTTTTGTTGGACACGACACCGCTAATAAACACTGCGAGATTCTTTTTATCGCACTTTCTTCTGCCGATTTGGGACGGGAGAGAACTGTCAACGAGAGGATCAAAACAAAACAAACTCAAAGAGAGAAAGTCAGCTGAGCGTTTGTGCGATCACGCTAACTTCAAAGTTCCCATTAATGAGTAATATTTTACCCTTTTTAAAAGTGGCTTAACTCATGAAATGAGTAAAACCGAGTTTATTTATTAATGAATATCCCGCATAAACGCGAACCATAAATTGACCTTACCTTAAATGGTTTAAAATTGTTTATAATCCCTGCTAAACTTTAACTGAAATGGTTATGGAACTTTACATGAACGTTTAATGATAAAGTTTCAACCTTATGTATTATGGTTTTTTGGAACTGGACCTTACAAATAATGGGTTGTTAAGAACCATTACCATTCCAAATTCTTGTTTTCTCCATACATTTTCAGAAAGAGAACTATATAAGAACGTTTTTACTTATGATTTGAGAACATTAATGGTAATGGTTATGGTAGTCAGTAAGGTCCATTAATGGTTTTGTATTATCGCTCAACTTTACGTGGAATATATCGTGAATTGGTAATCAGTAAATTACAGGCAACCAATTCGCGATATATTCCACATAAAGTTGATCGATGTTACAAAACCATTCGTGGACCTTACTGACTACCATAACCATTACCATTAAAGTTCTCAAACCATAAGTTAAAAGGTTCTAATATAGTTCTCTTTCCGAAAATGTATGGAGAAAACAAGAATTTGGAACGGTAATGGTTCTTAACAACCCATTATTTGTAAGGTCCAGTTCCAAAAAACCATAATACATAAGGTTGAAACTTTATCATTAAACGTTCATGTAAAGTTCCATAACCATTTCAGTTAAAGTTTAGCAGGGATTATAAACAATTTTTAACCATTTTAGGTAAGGTCAATTTATGGTTCGCGTTTATGCGGGATTCGACTAGTACTTCATGAAATGGGTATTTCTTTTATCCTTCGTGTTTTTTTGGCAATGAATAAAAAGTACCCATTATTTTAATCACTTAGGGCTCATAACTAACATTAACTGGCATATAAGATCATCAAATCGCTTTATTTATTTGAATGCTGAAACAATGTCACATTCAACACTCCAAAGCATTAAAAAAAGTCTACCGCTTGTGCTGAGCTGGGAGTAAGGGATTTTTGTATCGATAACTTTTGCGTCCTATTCTCCTCCTGTTACTTTGGCTTACTGATGTATATTGGCATGAAATCCTGTAAAATCATCTCGTACAGCTTTCCAGGGATGACAAATTAGGATGGATGGGGGCCATCAAAGCTATAAATGATTGCTATATTGAGCCACAATTGCGGTTTAAGAATAAAGGGTGATACGGTCAAAATTTGGTCAATATCAACTTGACGTATTTCTTTCAATTTTGCATTTAAAAAACCTGAACACCCCTCATTTTGATGGTGTGTGTGTGTAAAATGTTGCTCCTATTTTGATTTTGGAATTCACTCTTCAGTTGTCAAAATGCCGTCCAAGCAAGAAGAGCAGCGTATCAAAATTTTGCTCGCGCATCGCAAAAATCCGAGCTACTCGCACGCAAAGTTGGCAAAATCGCTAAAAGTTGCCAAATCAACCGTTACAAATGTAATTAAAGTGTTTGGGGAACGTTTGTCGACAGCCAGGAAGTCTGGATCGGGGGGAAATCGAAAACCGGAAGCCGCTGAGACGACAAAGAGAGTTGCCGGTAGTTTCAAGCGAAACCCTAACCTCTCTCTCCGAGATGCCGCAAATAAGCTGGGTGTATCATCTACAACCGTGCATCGAGCCAAAAAACGAGCCGGATCGACTTACAAGAAGGTAGTGACTCCAAATCGCGATGATAAACAAAATACGACGGCCAAAGCGCGATCCCGGAGGCTGTACACGACGATGCTGACGAAGTTTGACTGCGTGGTAATGGACGATGAAACCTACGTCAAAGCCGACTACAAGCAGCTTCCGGGACAGGAGTTTTATACGGCAAAAGGAAGGGGAAAGGTAGCAGATGTTTTCAAGCACATGAAACTGTCAAAGTTCGCAAAGAAATATCTGGTTTGGCAAGCCATCTGTACCTGTGGCTTGAAAAGCAGCATTTTCATAGCTTCCGGGACTGTCAACCAAGAAATTTACGTGAAAGAGTGTTTGAATAAACGTCTGCTGCCTTTCCTGAAGAAACACGGTTGTTCCGTACTGTTTTGGCCGGATTTGGCATCTTGCCATTACGGTAAAAAGGCCATGGAGTGGTACGCCGCCAACAACGTGCAGGTAGTTCCCAAGGACAAGAACCCTCCCAACACGCCAGAGCTCCGCCCAATTGAGAAATACTGGGCTATTGTCAAGCGGAACCTAAAGATGACCAAAAAAACTGCTAAGGGCGAGCAGCAGTTCAAGGCAAACTGGCTTTCTGCGGCGAAGAAGGTGGACAAGGTGGCTGTACAAAATCTGATGGCAGGGGTCAAGCGTAAGGCCCGGCAATTCGGATTTGGAAAAGCGGAAGCCTAACTGAATATTTTACCTGAATTTTATACTAATTGAACTTGAAAAAGAAATTTAATTTGATTTTTTAAATAAACGATTTCACCGATTTACACGCGTTTTCCCTTGACCAAATTTTGACCGTATCACCCTTTAGGATAGCCTGTAACAAACAAAGAGCATCATATGAATTGCAGAAAAATAAAAATAAACGAAAAATATTCTTACTTTCCACTTTTTCGGATTGAAAGTTTCACTTCCGCACTGAGTTTGCTTCTAGCTTTTGCTCTTTGAAAATGTTACCTGAATGGACAGAAGCCAATATCAAAAATGAATCAAGAAGCCAATATCAAAAATGAATCAAAATTACCCGCTTTTCATTTTATGAAAATATTTACCACTTTTTTGACAGCTCGGAATGGATACAAAAAATTCATTCAAGATACTCATTTAATGCGAGATTTAATGGGTAATTTAGAGCTAGCGTGATGAGAGGGGGCCTCCCTTAGCTCAGTCGGTAAAGGCGCAGCTACAAAGCAAGACCATGCTGGAGGTGGCTGGGTTCAATTCCCGGTCCGGTCTAGGAATTTTTCGGGTTGGAAAATTTCTCGACTTTCCTGGGCATAGAAGTATGATTGGACTTGCCACACAATTATACCAATGCAAAAATGGTACAGGCATCGAAAGCTCTCAATTAATAACTGTGGAAGTGCATCTAGAACACTAAGTTGAGAGCACGCAATAAGCTAATATGCGATATGCAATAAGCTTGAAATGCGAAGAAGAAGAAGAAGTGATGAGAGAAATATTTGCAAAGATGCCAGATAAAATTGACCACTTCGTCAACCAGTTTTGGTGTGACTTTCTACCAGCGATTCCACAAAACTGAACCAACTAATTTATATTTTTTTTATTGAAACGCACAAATGATGGCTATTTTTCTCGTGGTTTTAGAATAAAAAAAAAATCTCAAAATAAGGCCGTTCGCAATGTTGTTGTATTTTATAAGGACTGTTTCAATTTGAATTTAGAACAGAAACGCACCTCTCGCAATACTGAGGTGCAGTTTCATTATCAGAGCACTATTTTGCACCAGATTTGCAACTGCTCGACTATTCTGTTTTATTTCTGAGCGCGTTTGAAACACGATTGGAACTCTGTTTCAAATTTCTTTGGATGTATTTAAAGATGTTTCGAAGAGCTTCACAAAAAAAACTCTATGAACTTCATAGAGAACAGTAAATTTTATGGAACTTGATGATAACAAAAATCTTTTAGAACTGTGCGTTGCGCTGATCGTGTTGCAGTTTTATTTTTGACAGTTTCAAATTATAGAATTGTCGAGTCGTTTAAAACAATTTTGAAACTCAGCATTGCGAACGGCCTAATGTTTTAGTTCAAAGTTCGAGTGGTAGTAAACGTCATTTCAACTGCTCGAATGAAGTGGTTAATTGGTACACTCTAAAAAATCTTCACGTCCGATTTACGTGAAATATCACATACCTGATCTGTATTTAGAAAATCTCAAATGTTACGTGACGTTAGTAACTTTGACCTGAATTACATGCCATGTCTACTAAAAATGTTGGTGAAATTAACCACTTCATTCGAGCAGATAAAATGACGTTTACTACCACTCGAACTTTGAAATGAAACAATATTTTGAGATTTTTTCTTCTAGAACCTCGAGAAAAGTAGCCAACATTTGTGCGTTTCATAAAAAAAATAGAAATTAGTTGGTCCAGTTTTGTAAAATCGCTGGTAGAAGGTCACGACAAAACTGCTTGACAAAGTGGTCAATTGACTGTATATTCACGTAAACTGATTTAGTGTATTTGTGTTTGTGTGTTTGGGTCTTCGATATTTCCGGAAAACGAGATTAACTTGATTTTAAGGTACGCAAAAAAAAAAATCAATATGGCGTCACCGAGCGTGTTGGAAAACCTCGTCAAAGATTAAGAATTCCTCAGCGCGTATTTATTTACATTAATTTATTTATGATTATATGTATCCTTTTTCTAGTTTTATTATTTCAGACGTTGACATCAGCATCTTGGGTCTGCAAATAGGTGGTAATATTTTGTCAGAAATAAAAAAAAAAACTCATACACGTTTCTACCTTATAATAATCAATTAGTCAATATTTTACAATTTTAAGAGTAGATATAAGTATTAATTTCAACACGCGAAATTTATATCTTCCCGATAGAATTGCATAATTTGACTGCTTCTATATCACGCAGAGAAATGATTTTTAAATTCAAATGGATATTTTTTTGAACGGCGCCGGTGGTGTAGTGGTAAGCGTGATTACCTTTCACCCCAGCAGGCCTGGGTTCAATCCCAGTCGGCGCCGCCGGGATGTTCTGAGGCATAACATCTCTGATCACGCCTTCCTTCGGATGGGAAGTAAAGCCGTTGGTCCCCGGTTCATGAGTTGATGGGTCGATAGGTAGGGTCCAGGTGTGGGAGCTGCCTTCCTGGTACGT